AGAGTTTTTATACTGGAAGCAAGAACTTTGATTCACATCAGCTATACTTTATCAAAATTAAAAGTTTTTGGTCTGTTAAAGTCTGGTTAAGGGGATAAAAAGACAGACTGCAGACATGGGAGATAGTTGCAAATGAAAATCTCAACAAATGAGTTTTTTGGTGGTGTTACGTTAATATCCATTGGTGTGTTTTGCATTGGTGTGCGCTATTTTGTAATATCATATACCAGTCATCTGAAATATGTTGAGTTATATAAATCATCTAAGTTTGGACACATTTCCATAAGTGATCAAAAGATTACATGCTGCGACCTCCCTGTTGGTGCAAGGGGTTAAAGTGCGCTATGAAGCTATCTGAAGCCACTGCAGCACAAGTTCCATCCCCAGCCGGGGAGGCGACCAACATGGTGCAGCAGATCTCTCTTGTTATGCCAGCTTCTCCACTCAATCCACCTGTATTTCAATCAATCCACCTGTCTATTCCTCTATGTTTCTGGTGAATCCTCTTAACCCCTGCACCTCTGGCCTGTAACCCAGTTCTTGTATACATAAACAAATAAATCTTAAAAAAAAAAAAACTACATGCTAATGTTAGAAAATCTATAAATACCAGGAAATTGTCAAACTCATGGTAACAGATACAGGTTTTCCAAATTTTTTTTAATTAATTTTTTTTAATGTATACATACGAGAGCTGGGGTGTCGGCCAGAGGTGCTGGGGGGTTGAGAGGATTCACCAGAGACAGTGGGGAGCAGAAGAGGCAGATTTATTGAAACACACTGCTCAGGGAAGCAGCAGGCAAGACACACCATGTGGGTCACCTCATGGGGATTGATCTTGTGCTCCAGTGGCTGCAGATAGCTTCACAGTGCTTAGACTTAACCCCTTGTGCTACCAGGGAGGCCTAACTTATTTAATCTTATTTATTTTTGCATAGAATTGGGGTGTAAGCCAGAGGTGCAGGTGGTCAGAGGATTCACCAGAGAGAGTAGGGAAAAGAGAAGGAGGATTCACTGAAACACCCTACTGAGGGGAGTAGTGGGTGAGAAAGGACAGTCTGCTGTGCCATATATGGGTTAACTCCCTGGCTGATAGTACTGAGACTTTGACCTGTGGGTCACCAGGGAGACCCAAAATTCTAATTTTCATACAAAAGATTTATTTTAACATTGTATCATGATTAATATCACAAACACTAAAATCACAGGTTTACTTCTTTTAGTGTAGATTGATGTTGGCAAAGGGCCCTTGTGTGAGTATGTGTCATTTGTATATGAGTTGTTCTTTCAAGTCAATGTGAAGCAGCATGAGAAAAGTTGCAAGTTCAAGAGAAGTTACCAGCCAGAACCTTCCCTGGAGGCGATCTTCATTTCTCATTACACAGCATTTGTCATGTAGAATATTAAAAGGACATGTCCCTAAGGGTAGAGATTTAATTTTATTGCTTCATCAAGGGAATTCTTAAGTGAAATTGGTGGTTTTATTTAAATAATGTTCCTCAAGAACAGGCTGGCAAGGGCGGTGCCATTCAGGGCCAGCAGTTTCACTGATGTTGCCTTTTCACTTTCAAGACACATGGCCACACAGATAAAAAGGCAATTAAGGTCCTTTTGTTTACAAAATAGTTTTGAGTTCACTGATCCCTACTCGGGGCTTCAGGGAGCTCTGAGGGAGGATCTGTGACCAAAACTTTGGGAATCACTGCTCCGGATCTTAGCTTCCCTGGTAGGACCAGGGCAAGGCCTTCCCTGGCCACCTGGGAATGCTCTGGGCAATCTTAGGATGAATGAGCTTTGGTGTGCAACCTGGCTGCCATGAACCCCTGTCCAGCCCAGCTGGATACCTCCTGAGGACCCAATCGCTCTCCCCACTTCTCATCTGCTCACAGCAGTGTGCAAATCTGACTGACTCAGGCCTGTCAACGTTGGGCCTCAGGCCAGCACCCTCAGCAGGGCATTTCTCTCCTCCAACCACTGTCACAGCCCTTCCTGACCTCTGATATTTGTCTTCCCCAGCTCCGGCTTTAATTTTACCTGCCTGACCTGTTTGTGCTCTAGGGACTGCCAGAGACTTCCTGCTTGCCAGTTAGTGCCACAGCATTGCTGGCTTCTAAGTTCTCATGCTGTAGGCAGACCTCCAGACTACCCGTCTGTTATCCTGCGCTTGCCCCATGCCCATCTCTTCTCTGGAACCAAGCATAAAGTACCTGGATCTGGGCCTTCCTCATGGCCTAGGGGTTACGTTTCAGCTCTAGCACTTGAGGGCCTGAGTTTGATCTGGCCAGGGAGCTGACCCACACGGCAAGGCAGACCTCTCCTGTCTCACCAGCTGCTCCCCTTAGAGGTAGATCCACCTGCTGTGCTCTCCACCACCTCTGGGGAATCCTCTCACTCCCACACCTCTGACCTAAACCCCAGTTCAACACAAAAATAAGAATCTTAAAAAAAAAATGCAAGTGGATCTGTCCAGCATCCTTCATAAAACTTCATAGAGCAGTTAACTTTTCATCTTAAAGTTAATATATTTTTTAAAGGCTTATTTACTTATGCACACAGAACTGGGGTGCAGGGGAGTTGCAAGGATTCACCAGAGACAGAGTAGGGTGCAGAACAGGCAGATTGATGAAGCACACTGTCCAGGGAAGCAACAGGCAGGCAGGAGAGGTCTGCTGTGCTATGTGGATCACCTGGGGCAGGGCAGAGTGGAGTGAATTCACTAAAGCCCCTGCGGCTAGCTTGCAGTGCTGCCCTTTAATGCGTTGCATCACCAGGGAGAGCCCCTTAAGGTTAATCTTAAAGGAAAAGAGGTAGCAGCAGGACAATCAGAACCCAAAGTCATGAGAGGGAGAAGGGCCTAGTATGAAGGGTTAGTTTAGCTAGATAGAACATCCCTTCAGTGAACTACGTTACCAGTGTTAGTTGGGATACTGAGTCCCCTGGGCCTGGGCAGCGGCCATAGATTCTTACTTTTGTGTTGAACTGGGGTGTATGTCAGAGATGTGGGAGTGAGAGGATTCCCCAGAGGTGGTGGGGAGCACAGCAGGTGGATCTACTGAGATACACTGCTAAGGGGAGCAGCTGGTGAGGCAGGAGAGGTCTGCTTTGCTGTGTCGGTAGCATCACAGGTGGTGGAGGGGCAGGGAAGGGGTACCGGGGCTCTACATATTTGGGCAAGGCTGCCAAGGCAGGGGACCCAGACTGGGGTCCAGCTATGGGCTGAGAAGATAGGGCCTTTGCTGTTGACTGCACTTCAGCAGGTGGGCATTTGGCGAAAGGTATTCCAGCCTGACACAGGCATTCAGGGTTAGAGGTGGGTGAGTGGGATGGAGGTGACTGGGAGGTGGTGTGGGTTAGATGGAGGGGCAGGGTTGGCCCACCCTCATGTCAGGACACCAGGAGATAGGTATGGTTGGTGGACTCCAGGGGACAGCAAACTGCAGAGCTGGGAGTCGTTTTGTGGACATGGTGGGTGAGGTGTGTGGCTAACACTGAGGGGTTTTCTGTGGTCTCTGTTCAATCGAGTCCCAAATGAATACCAATGGGGAGCTCATGATCCCGCCTCTGTTGGGGCAGAAACAGACTAGATGTTTATTCCAAGTTTCACCGGTGAAAATGGAGTCGCTCAGTGGGTGCAGCCTTTCCCTCCCAGATAGGCCACCTGCCCCAGCACTTGCTCACAGTGGAGGGTAACTTGAGCCCCACCTGTGCCAGAGCCCTGAGGGAGGTGGGGACATGAGAAATGGCCGGGGTGTCGGGGTCCCTGTTGTCATTCCTGCAGCAGTCTCTTTGCCTGGCCCCCCAGCAGAGTCGGCAGGCCCTCTCCCAACTGCTCTCGTAGCTGCTTCCATGTCGAAAGGGGTTCACATCGGGAAAGGACCCCCAAAACTGCGTCATCCAGCACAGCGGCTCAGGTGCTCACCTACTCATGTACCCACAGCACCCATTCCCACACCCACTGGTTGGGTCAAATGCAGGCACATCTGGGTACACAGGATGCACTTCTAGACTGTGACGATTCTTCCTTTTCATAGCTGTTCTTTCCCACTTTTAGAGAAGGGGCAACTGAAAGCTGAAATGTAAAAAAGCCACCTAGACAGCCATTTGTATGGCGTCCAGTCTGACATCCATTCTTGGGGTCCTAGCTTCCACCTCATGTCTCACTGCAAGTGATCTCCAGAATGGGGTCAAAGTGGACCCCTAACTCAACATCTAAGAGTGTGAACTTGGACAGCTGCCCTGACAGAGCCAGGGACATCTCCAGGAAACAACAGCAGGCCTGACCACCAACTCCTTGCCTTGTTTAGCCCTAGTCATCCTGGCCGACCGTCAGATGCAGCGAGGGTGTGCGGGCCCTGGAGGGCGTGGTCCTACTGCATGGTGTGCCTTCACACCAGCCGCCCAGGGAGGCCAGGAAGCACAGGGCACCAAATGAAGAGATCCTGAGAGGGCTTCAAGGAACCCAAACGTGTGGCCTAGCAGACAAAGTAATGGCCATCAGAGGTTGGGGGCCCAGCTACTAGGGGGCACCCCATCTCTACCCCCTGGTCTGAGTTCTTTCCATTATCAGTGGGACCCAATGACTCCCCAGGAGGCCCAGGCAGTGAGGCTTTTGGCCAGACGAGTCACTGGGCCCTGTCAACATGGTGAGGTTACCCCCCGAACCCGCCACCGAGGTCCAATAAGCTGCTTGAGTTCTGGGGCGCTAATCCACTAGGCACACTGTTCAATATAGAAGCAGGCTGCAGAGCCCTTTTTTAGGCGGAGTGGGGGGCAGGATACCTAGGAGCAGGGGAGACTCAGAAATTAGATGCAGCAGACGTGCCCTGCAGTGATGCAAAGCCAGGCCAGAAACGTGCTCTGCACAGGGGGCACTGCTCAGCAGAGCAGATGGCTACCCCACTCCCTCCAGTGAGAAGGGGCTGCTTCCCAGGTAGGGCAAGTAGGGAGAAGCCTAGGCCAGTGTATTTTCCTCAGAGGAAAGAATGACACAGCAGACAGGCCCACGGATAACTTAGTTTATGGGTCAAGCCAAATGCAATGCAAAGTTGTTTTCGTTCTTTTTTTTTTAACCAAAATAAATAAATCAGATCCATCCCTGTGACAAGTGTGGGGGCTGGCCCCACAGCCTCATGCTCCCCTCATGCTCCTCCCCTCTCACTAGCTTTGGCACGGTAGAGAACGCTTAGTCTCCAAGGTGCTAAAGGGAAACAGGAGAGGAGAGTGGGCGGGGCAGGGAGGCAGAGGTGGACGTGAAGGGAGAGCAGAGCCCAAACAGGCAGCTGGTATACCAGCCGTGGTGCCTGGACATGTGCTTCCTGCCTGCAAGCACTCCTGGTGGGCCCCAGGTGGGTGGATCATGCACAGCCCCCACACATGGCCTGGGATCCTTTTGAGGTGCAGAAGTGGACACTGCAGAGAGTGAACCTGCCACCTCTGCCAGGTCAGGCTAAGGCCGTCTCTTGACAGCCACCACTCAGTTCAATGGGCACCAGGGGCCTGCCAAAGCCCTGTGCACCCCAGAAAGACTGACAGTGATGACTGCTCTGAGGAATCTAGGGCTCAGCCCAGGAAGACAAAGCCACCCTAGTCCAGGTGCAAAAAGCCCCTATGATGGGTGGTGAGGACTGCCGACATGCGGGGAAGCCACACAAGGCTGGTCCTGTGGGGGGAAGCTGGTGGGGTTGGAGGTGGGGCAGAACTGACTCTCCCAGGACACCTTCAGGGCTCCATCTCCTCCTCCCACTCCCCACTGCCTCTGAGAAGGCTGCTGGCCTGGCAGAAGTCACAGAGCCTGGAGCGTGTCTGGCTGGGGGCAGTCAAGTGCATGGGGAGAAGAGTAGCCTAATTCCTAAGCAAGCGCGGGGAGTGTGTGGTGCAGTAGACCGGCAGAGGTGTGGGCAGCGCTGAGGCACGATTCTTTAGTTGAGAAGCGAGGAGCAGTCGTGGATGAGGGCAGAGGGCCAAGAAGCCCCAGGCAGCATCTACGAGAAGTTCTTGAAGGCGTCTAGGTCGAAGGCCGTGTCCAGGAGGCGCTGCAGCTCGGTGAGGTGAGTCTTCTTATTGCCGGTGGCTGGAGCTGCTGCTGGGTCCCGACCAGCATACCTGGTAGGGTGGGCAGGTATGTGTAGCACTGAGTGCTGAGTGTCAGTGAGAAGTGGCCGTGAGGGTCACCAAGAGGCTCAGACCTCATTTTTCCCTTAGGCCCCACTAACCGCCCACTAGGCAGGGCTGCAGGTCTTACCACACGGGCTTGGCGCGGTTTATGGTGGTCCGAAGTCTTGGCTTCACATAGTCGTAGTAGCCTTGATTTTTGTGCTCTTCCTGGCACCAGGCTAGTTCAGCATTGGGGTACTTCTGTACCTCCTGCAGCAGGAGGTCGAAGGGAAATGGGGACAGCTGGGGAGAGAAGAGGCGTGTTAAGAGAGGACACTGAGGGCAGAGGGCCACACTGGGACACAGAAAGGAATGCTCAGTGACCATAGGGGATGTTCTGGAAGCTCTGGGAAGGAGGGATCCCAGCGTACAGTCATATGCCCCCTACTCTACCTGCTCAATCCTTGTGATGGCCACCTGCTCCACCATGCCCCGTGCTTTGCGCTCTCGGGTGAGGTCATAATACACCTTGCCAGTACAGAAGAGAAGTCTCTTGACATTTTCGGGGTTCTGAGCTGCCGGACCATCTTCTGGGATCACCCGCTGGAAGTGGGTTCCTACGAGGGAATCCCACGGCCAGTTCTCTTAGTACTTGGCTGAGGACACCCAGGGCCCTCCCACTGCTATTGTGCACCAGCCAGAATCCCATGAGGGCTATAGCATGGGGACACCAGAACAGTTCCCGAGAGTCAGAGATGCTTCTTCCAGCCACCTCTGATGCCCTTGAATTCATTCTGAGAGAGCATGGTAGGTGGCATGCACAGCGGGCCTCAGAGAACAAGTGACCCCACTTCATTCTTCAGTCAGCCTGTGCCAGATTTCAGGGGCAACTAATTCTCACGCATCTATGATAACTCTGCTGACTCCTCATGAGTTTACAAATAGGAAAACCTTCCACGCAATGGAGTAAATACTTAGATGCTGTGGCTGGAGCTGTACCCCCAGGAACAAGGCTGACTTCAGGAAGTCCAAACTGAGGGGCTCGCTTCATGAAATAAACGCAACATACAACATGCTTACATTCATGACACACGAGCAAAGAACTAGATTAGGAGGCAACTTCAGGAAAGTCTAAAATGAGGGGCTCAATTACATGATAAACACACAACTCACATTTGTGACATTATAAACACACACAACATGCTGGGATTAGAAGGAAACTGCCTCTACACATAAAGCTATTGTGTGAAAAACCCACAGTGAGTATCATTCTTAAAATAATCAGACTGAGGTTTCCTCACTGAGATTGAAATAAGACAAGGATGCTTGCGTTCAATAATACTCAACACAGTGCTAAAAGCAGGAACAATTAGGCAAGGGGAAAAGGCACATAAATTAGCAAAGAAACAAAATGAACTCTTTGTAGGTGATAAGATATGGCCTTAGAAGCAAAACATCCTGGAGACTTCACAAAAGAGCAGCTAGGCCTAAAGGAGGTCTGAGGGCACCTGGGCAGGGCCACAGACACCAGGGGGAGCAGGAAACACGGCGTTTCAGCCTCACACATACCTGGAAGCATCTCATCAAAACTGGTTCTGGCCTCAGGATGCCGCAGCAGGGATTTAGGGGTAAAGATGATTAACTGAAACACAGAACCACAGGCTCATGAATCCAGAAAGTTCTAAGGAATCCAGAAAGCTTTCATAGTAAGGGCCTCATCAGTTGCCTCTACACCCTGTTTCCTGCCCCCAGAGAGGGCTGTCCAGTCCTGTGCGCCAGAAGGCTGCTGATGCGCCGAGGCCCCCAGAGAACTGTTTCCTGCACTTTCACACTCACTGCTACTTACCCCTCAGGGCCTGGCCCAGGAACCTGCGAGGGCTCACCTCTCTTCTAGTATGCCACCTACAGCCACCCCTCACACATCTGTCCTCCCACTCGGCTGGGGCCCTGGACTCCTCAGGTCAGGCAGGCTTCTCTGAGCAGGGACACCCCCAACTGACCGGCTTCCGGAAGGGCAGGAGAATCTGGCGGCGCAGCACATGGAAGAAGTTGCCAGGGGAGGAGCAGTTGACAACCACCCAGTTGCAATCATAGAGCTGGTTTATGTCAAAGTTGGCTTCTGCTAGGTCCTGCAACAAGGGGGCTGTCAGAGGCCAGCGGCACCAAGCATTGCCACGGGAGGCATGGGGGCAGAGAGCCTCAGAAGGCCCTGGCCTCATGGTGCCCCCAGTGGCACCTGGAGAGGCAAATATGCAGGGACACTGACAAGAACTAATGTAGCCCCTCACAGACTGCATCGATGCTTAGCTCCACATAAACCCTCCCATCTCTGTAAACACTGCCTGGTTGAGATAGACACATGTCTATCTGAAACCCATTCTGATTTTTCTTAGAAATGGGCTTCCAGGAAAGACAAAATGCTGCCAATTACAGAAAAATGGAAGGAGTTCAAAGGAATGATGTGTAGCAAAGCAAGCTGGAATGACAAAGACAAATACTAGACATCTGGCAATATAGAATACTTGTGAAAATTAGTGGTCACAAACAAACAAGGTGAGGGCTTTAGGATTAAGGGGGAAGGAAGAGGGAAAAGGTCAAGGGGACATAAGGGATGGTGATGGGGGGAAAAAGAACATGAGTTCAAGAAAGAAACAAAACTCATTCACAGTAAAATTCTTTCAGCTCTGTAAATTCAATAATCTCCTGAGAGAGCGGGCACAGGGGGTAAAGCACAGCGCTGTGTAGCTATCAGTAGCCACTCATGAGTTCGATTCTGGCCAGGGAGCAGAATGGCGCAGCAGACCTCTCCTGACTCGCCCGCTGCTCCCCTGAGCAGTGTGTTTCAGTGAACCTGCCTGTCCTGCTCCCCACTCTGTCTCTGGTGAAGCCTCTCACCTTCCTGTATCTCTTGCCTGTACCCCAGTTCTTGTTTACATAAATAAATACATCTTAAAAAAGAAAATCTCCCTGGAGCTCTTTCCCCTATATCATATAATATTATATCTATAATATTCGTGGGAGTCAAAATCCAAACACTGTTAATCCTAAAAATTTTCCTGCAGTGTTTACACCGCTTCTCTGCTTATACAGCAGGTGGCAGGAGGCATCACTCACTCTTCTGTGCTCTGAAGAAGGCCCTTGTTTTGGGAAGACCCGCGGGCTGGGGCCTATCCACTCAATGCCCAGAGATCCCCTCCCTGGCAACTCCTGGAAGGGAGCGGAGGACAGAGGGGCGGCTGCTCCACTCACCGGCAAGACATCCGGGTCATCATTGCACATCTGCAGGAAGCGCTCAGGCCTGGCAGAGGAGTGCTCGGGGCCCTGGAACCAGACATGCAAGTTACATTTCAGGAGTTTCGGATTCGAGGCTTCTCTTCCTGAACTCACTTCTTGTTTGAAAAATGCTAATTATCTTCTTTCCTGATGGCTCTTCATTGCCTTCCCTCCCACCCAGGGTGTGGAGGGGCACTTCTCACAGAAGGACAGGGCTCAGCTCCTGGCTCCTCATAGAGGGAGGCGGGCTGGCACATTGGCACCCAGATGACCTGCCTCTGCATTCACAGAAGACGGGTACCAGCAGACCTCCGCTGTGCCAGTCTGTGGCAGGTCCTTCCCATGCCCTTAGGTGTGGTAGGGAAGGTGGGTGGGGGCTCACCATGCCCTCCATGCCGTGGGGCAGCAGCAGCACGATACCATTCTGCCGCACCCACTTGGCCTGTCCCGGGCAGATGAACTGGTCAATGATGCACTGGGCAGTGTTGTGGAAGTCACCAAACTGCGCCTCCCACAGGACCAGGGCATTGGGACTGGCCATGGCGAAACCCAGCTCAAAGCCTACAGAACAGAGGGAGGGAGAAAACCACGTTCTGGCAGGTGGGGAGGACAGGGGCAGCGGTGGGAGGGGAGGGCAGCAGGGGCAGAAGCGCAGGGTCGGGGAAGTGAGCTCAGAGGGACTTTGAGGCTCTGGGCACTCACCTAGGACCCCGTACTCAGACAGTGAGCTGTTGCACACAGTGTAGGGGGCCTGGTTGGGCCAAAGATGGTTCATGGGGATGCAGGTTCTCTTGTCCACGTTCTGGTCATGCAGCACATGGTGGCGGTGGCTAAGGCAGAACAGCACACACTGGTATCCTGTGTTCTGCTCCCACAAGCAGACCCAGGGAGGGGAGCGGCAGAGCACAAAGGTCCATTTCTAACAGAAGTGCCCAAACCAGACAGGGGCGGGACTTCCGGGCTGAGATAGCAGAGGCCTAATCACTGTTTTAGGGATTCTCTTCTGGAAGATAAACACCAGCGCCCTCCCTCCCTGTCTCCTACCTTTTAAACGGTGAACAAGAACACAAGAGTGTTACCTGAAAGTGCCCCGCTCTACATCCTGACCGCTCAGCCGGATGTGGATGCCCTCTTTCAGAAGGGAGCCGAAAGCCATGTACTCTGCCAGAGCCCAATCCACCGTCCTGTTCTTCACCAGCTCTCCTCGGGTCTTCAAGATCCGGCTCAGCCCTGCAGGAATAGGGTGTTCTTAGAGACCAGCCTGGGGTCTCTAAGAGCCCTGGCGGAGGCACCCCACCCCAGCCTGACAGGAGCAGTCTTCTCTGGTCCTAGCTTCTGGATGTCACGGAGACCACAGGGTGGAGACCAAGTTAGAGAAAGGCGGTGACAGCTCATCCTTTCCTCCCTTGCTTGGCCAGCTGAGGATCACATCAGGCGTGATGTGGGGACACAGGGGGAGGCAAGGCAGGAAGGTTGGGGGAAGGATGAGGAGACCACCAGGTCCCAGGCTGCAGCAATGTCATCACTGGACTCGCCCCACTTCAAAAGGTCAGTGCGGCTCTGTACCTCCATGAATGGTGAAGTTCTCCACAGGGACGGAGCTGGCCACGTTCCCAATGTGTGTCAGAATATCTTCCGTCAGACCCGTGGAGGGGCAGGACATGCTCCGGGGCTGCCCATCCAGGGTGAAAAAGCCTATGAAAGGAGAGGCAGGCTGAGTACGGCCACACTTCTCAGGAACCCAACTGCGGCCCACAAGACACAAAGGGTCGAGCAAGACTCAACCCAGCTTGCATGGCGCCCCTAGTTAGTCTTAGTTCAGGGTCCAAAGCCAGGTCCCACAGAGTCACTTAGTCCCTCACTCACCAGGCCAGGGGGAGTCCAGCCAGTGCTTGATGTGCAAGATCTTCTCATCCTTGGATCTGGTGAAGGCTTCCTCGCAAATCTTGTCATACTTGGAGATCTCCTCCTGGGGGACAAACATGGCACAGGGCACAATGCTGCACGCCCCACTCCTGCGACTGCCAAGCACCCCAGACTGCACCACTTTACATCCCAGTGTCTGCATCTGTTTGTGGGCTCGCTAGAGCTCCTGCTCAGTTTGAGGCCCTGGGGGCCCCTACCTCTCCTTTTCCTGTCTTCTTTCTTACTACCAGGTCTGATTCTGTTCCTAGTACAGCCTCAAGCAGGTCTGATCCCTAAAGCTCCATGTCCAGCACTTGCACCTGAGCGTGGCACCACCCCTCTTCTGTACTTCTGGTCAGCCTGTCACAACCAATCCTTCTGAGCACCCTAACTGGCCTTCCCACTCACAACAGCCAGAAGTGACCACTCAGCTCACACTAGGCCCTTCACCAGGCTGGTTCTTCATGTGCCTTTCACCCTCTACTCTGGACTCAGAGCTAACGCCTGTAGGGTTGTGGCCACCTCATAGCAAGATAAGGTCAGGTTCCCTCTCCACCATGAACCTCTCAGTAGCTGGCCCCACCAAGAGGCTATGCATTGAAATGCAACAGCTGTAAATATTTCACACATTCTTCCTTACATCCTACTAACTGAGAGAGCTGGGAGAGCTGACTCTGTGGCTGGCCTTCTCTTTCCCCCAGCTCTGGAGAGACTTGCTAGGGTCACAGCCTCAGGACACACCTCATACTCCGGCTGGTTGACCACGCCCTGAGATACCAGCAGCTCTGCATACTTCTGCAGCACTGGCTTCTGCTTGCGAATCTGCTTGTACATGAGCGGCTGCGTGAACATGGGCTCATCCATTTCATTGTGGCCGTTGCGTCGGTAACACACCTGGGCATGGAGGAAGACATCAGGATCAGGGCTGCGCTGGCCAGGCTTGGGATGCCACTGTCAACCCTCCCTAGAATTAGGGGTTTCTTTTTCCTTTACACATCAAAGTTGCTAGAGTGGGATATTCCAGAATGGGAATCCAATGACCTTCCTATGGTTCACTCAGCCCAGCACTCAGGAGCCATCTGGAGTGAGACCCACCATAAGAAGCCATGAGCCCCTCTCGCTAGGACACAGGACTGAGCTTACTCACCAGGTCCACGACCACATCCTTGTGGAAGGTGTTCCTCCACTCAGCCGCCACCTTGCACACGTACATGACAGCTTCTGGGTCATCTGAGTTCACGTGGAAAATGGGGGCATTCACGACTCGAGCTACATCGGTGGGGTATGGAGAGGAGCGGGCCATGCGAGGGTCCGTGGTGAAGCCAATCTGCAAGGGACATGCAGTCTGGGCATGGAGCTGGGGGCTTAACACATGGGCAGGGCGGGTCTGAGGGCCCCTTGCTGGGTCCCTTGACTGCACTTGTCCCTCTTTGAGTAACAAAAAAATATTCTGACAACAAAACTGTGGCTCAACACAGAGGATTTGGATGTCAGTTTAAAAAATTAGTGATCTAAATTCTACCAGCTGCAGGATATTATTCTGTCATTCTTTCTAGATGATTTTCCTTGCAAGAACATACTATATATATTTGAAATTTCAGATTCTATTATTTCTTATTTTTGCACTTTATTCACTTAACATCATAGTGGTTTATCTTTGAAAAGAAAATTTAGGGGCTCTTCCTGGTGATGCAATGGGTTAAAGCGTAGCACTATGAAGCTAGCAGCAGCTGCTTCACCATCGGTTCTATCCCCAGCCAGGGAGTAACCCACATGGCCTGGCAGACTTCTCCTGACCCACCCACTGCTCCCCTCAGCAGGGCACTTCATCAATCTCCCTGGGTTGCTCCCCATTCTGTCTCTGGTGAATCCTCTCACCGCCCCTGCACCTCTGGCCTATACTCCAGTTCTGTATGCATAAATAAATCTTAAAAAAAAAATTAAAGATTTCATACTATCCTTGCTATTCATAATATCCTTACTATTTAGATGTTCTAAAACTTAAAATGTATTCATTATCTTATAACCTGCATTTGCTTTTAAGACATACTTCAAACATAAAGTATACTACAACATATGCTTATTCATGGACTTTTAACTTAACAGGCAAAACTGAACAGTTATAGGCCCTCTCACATTCCTTTGAATGTTTTTGCTACTGTAGGCTGTAACACCAGGAGGAGGTAGAGGACACTTCCAGGTCTTGCTATGTACATTTGTATATAATATATAGCCTTCTGAGGCTGTTGGTAACTTTAAAATTTTGATATAGTTTCAAACTTAGGAAAAGTTGGAGGGTTACAAGAACTCCCATGGAATCTTCACCTCTGCCCCTTTGTTATTATAGGAACAAAAATCTTTTCCTTAGCCATTCACGAATAGATCACTCCAGCTTCTTAAAATGATGACATCCTTCACTAGCTACAGTACAGTTCTCAGCTTCAAAGTAACTCAATACTGTAGACTACTATCAGTTCTCCTAATGATGCTTGATCTCCATATTCAATCCAGAACTTTACACTGCTTGTTAACTCTAGTCTCCCTTAATATGGAAGGGTGCTCTGCCTCTCTTGGTTTTATAACATTGGTATTTTTGAAGAGCATTTCCGTATCTTTTAAACAACGTAGATAAAGGCTCTATGTGCTTTATATATGGCATCATACTCTATATACTGTGCAAATCCTTTGAGACTTTCTTTTTGTTCAACATGTTTTTAGAGCTTATCCAGATAGAAACATGTACTTCTACTTCCTGTAATAGCATCTAATAGTGCAATTTAAGTACCAAATAACACTGCCATAGCCCATTTATCCATTCTCCTATTGCTGGACATCTGTTTCTAATTTGTGGTAAACACAACATTATTTTATATATCATACAGTTCTTCTCTAGCAAACACATTTATCACTAATATACTCCTCTGAAGGAAAAAACTCATTCATAGGCTAAAAGCATCAACTTTCTAAATTCTATCAAACTGATCTCCAAATTGGGGCCTCCCTGGTAGCTGACGGGGTTAAAGCACAGCACCATGAAGCTATCCACAGCCACTGAGCATGAGTTCGATCCCCAGTCAGGCAGTTGACCCACATGGCACAGCAGACCTCTCCTGTCTGGCCTGCCACTCCCATTGGCAGTGTTCAGTCAATCCGCCTGTTCTGTTACTCATTCTGTCTCTGGCAAATCCTCTCACCCTCTGCATCTCTGGCCTGTACCCCCATTTTTGTATGCATGAATAAGTACTTCTTTAAAAAAAGAAGGAAAAGATAGCTATCACCCTTTGACTATTTTCACTAGTCAAGACACAGAATTAACCTGTGTCCATCAATGGATCAATGGAAAAATATGTAGTATGCATTTACATACAGGGAGATATTATTTAGCCACAAAGAAAAGAAAGCATGTTATTTGCAACAATATGGATGGAACTTGAAGGCATTATGCTAAATGAAACAAGGCAGACAAGACAAATACTACATGATCTCAGTACATGGAATCTAAAACAAACAAACCCAAATTCATAGATACAGAAAACAGACTTGAGGAGCAGAGGAAATGGGTGATGGTGGTTAATGTTAATAAAAAAAGATTATTCAAATTCATCAAAAGCTAGAAATCTACAATACCAGATCAATTCAATGGCAAAAGATAGTCTTTCCACAAGTGATATTGAGACAACTGATATCCATTTGCAAAAGAATGTAGTTGGGCTCTTCCTTGCACCAAACACAAAAAGGTTAATTCAAAATGGTTCATAAAGCTAAGAACTAAAATATAGACCTTTTAGAAGGAAACAGAAGTAAATTAATTGTGAACTTAGATTATACACATCTACTTTCATATGACATCAAAAGCACAGCAAAAGAAAAAACATAAATTGCATTTGGTAAAAATTAAAAATTTTGTGCTTCAAATGACAATAATCAAGTGAAAACAATCCATAGAAAAAGGAGAAAAATTTGTGAATTACTGTTTAATAGAAGATTTGTAGTCAGAAAGGTGAGAATTCTTACAATTCAATAGTAAAGAGAAAATATCAATTAAAAGAAAGGACAAAGGATCTGAATAGACATTTCTCCAAAGAAATACAAGTGGCCACGTAAATGCAAGAAAACAGGCTCAATATCATTAGTCATTAGGGAAATGTAAACCAAAAATGAGGTACTACTACACAATCACTTCAATAGCCAGAATACAAAAAGACAGACAATAACAAGCGTTATTATGAAAAAACTAGAATATTCCTAACCTGCTGATATGAAATAAAAAAGGTAAAACTACTCTGGAAAGCAGTCTGGCAGTTCCTTATAGGTTAAACAAAGCCACCATATGACCAGTAAGTCTACTCCCACGAATATAAACATGAGAGAAATAAGACATTGTTCACACAAAAACTTGTACATGAAAGTTCACAGTAGTATTATTTACAATAGCCAAATGCAGAAACAATCCACTATCCCTCAATTGTGAATGGGTAAATAAAATATGAAACAGGCATATAGCAGAATATTATGAGCAATAAAAAGAATGATATAACATTGAAACATTATATTAAATGAAAAAAGTCCTCTTTGATGGCCTAAGGGTTAAGTCTCAGTACTTAGTCTCAACACATAGTGTCACCACAATGGCTCTGGTTTAATCCACAGTCAGTGACTTGACTCACATGGTGTAGCAGGCCTCTCCTGTCTCGCCCGCTGTTCCCCTTAGCAGTGTATTTCAGTCAATCTGTCGTTTATACTTCTCACTCTGTCTATGGTAAATCCTCTCACCCTCTTCCTATCTAGTCTACATTCCAGGTCTTCTATAAAATAAATAAATAAATACTAAAAAAAAACCCCAAAAAACAAAAAACCAAAACCACAAAGAAAACATTTTGTTAAGTGAAAGAAGCAAAGGATCATGTATTATGTCAATCAATATCAAATGTTCAAAACAGGTAAACCTATAGAGACAGAAAATTGATTAGTGGTTGATTAGGGCTGGGAAGTATTAGTTGTTAGGGGTGTGATAACTAAAAGATGTTGAATTTCTTGAGATTTTGAAAATGTTCTATAAATGACTGTGGTGATAACTGCACTATCTGTGAATACACTAAAAATTAATGAATTTAGGCTTTAAATCCAAAGCACATCATAGTCCCACTTCTGAAAATCAAGGACAAAGGAAAACAAAACACATAAAAATTAAAGATAAAAAACAATAAAATCTTTCTATAAAGAAAACTCTAGGACTTAAAAGTCTGACATCAAATTGTACTAAATAGGAAATATATAATATTAATTTTACATAACTCTTCCAGAAAAAACTGGTATCTTAGGGACTGGCATCTTTTATAAACATAGACCCAAGGATTCCAGCAGACTGGCTTCTCTCACTTAACATAATGTTTTCTTTTTGTATTTTAATATTTATTTATTTATTTAATAGAAGAACTGGGATGTAGACTGGAGAGCTAGGAAGGGGGTGAGAAGGTTTACCAATGAATGTAATTCATCATTAGCAAACCATAAAGATCCTAGATGCAGAAAAATATATGATAAAGATCAACTTCCATTAATGATAAATACTGCTTACAAATTAGGAAAAGACAGGAACTTCCTTAGCCTGATAAAGGATCATCTACACTAACCTCACATAATGATAATGATGTTTTTCTTTTTAAAGAAGATTTATTTATTTATGTATATAAGAACTGAGGTACAGGTCAGAGGTGCAGGGGGTGAAAGGATTCACCAGAGACAGAGTGGTTGCAGAACAGGCCGACTGACTGAAATACACTGCTGAAGTGTGAAGCTGGCTGTTTCTCTGTGAATTGGAACTTGCCCCTACCCATATGGCACAGCAGACCTCTTCTGTCTCACCCGCTGCTCCCCTCAGCAGTGTATTTCAGTAAATTTGTCTACTCTGTTCCCTACTTGGTCTCTGGTGAATCCTCTGTACTTATGGTTTCACCCCAGTTCTTTGCAAAAAAAAAAAAAGTATTAAATGTGGAGGACTAGTTATTTATAAGCAAAAATAGAAATGCAAACTCAAAATACAGCACAGGCTTTATAAGATGTAAAGTTATAAACTTCTAGAGGATGAGGTAGAATCGCTGTGATCTTGGCAAGGCAAATCTTCCTGAGACTTGAGATGGAAAACACAGTCCAGAAGAAGAAAAAATGCATAAACTGGACTTCATCAAAACAAAGAATTGTTCCATGAAAGATAGTGGTAGGAAAAAGATAAGCTATAAAATGAAGAAAATCTTCATAAAACACATTTCTTATAAGGGACTTGATGTAGAATCTATAAAGAACTCAAATTTTAATAATCAGCTCTCC